AAGGCCCTCTATGAGGTGGATTGATTAAGTGCCTGGGATAATTGGGATGGGAGTGTCAGAGACAGTGCGATTGGCACAGAACAGAGCGGAGTTTAGGGCTGTTGTACATAGGGTCGCTATGAGTCGCAGGCGACTCGACGGCACATAACAACAACAACAACACAATATGTTTCTGCTGTTGGGCTGTGGGGAATCAGTAACCCACACTCTTGAACTATAGCTGTTTTCAATGTCAGAATGTACCTCACACAAATTGATCCTAAATAAAGTCTTCAGGACCTGAGCGAATTCCCTTTCGGTTCCTGGTGTATGCTCAAAAAGAGAAGGAAAGAGAGACCACCACCTTATCCAAAGAAAAACCACCACCTTGTCCCAAGCTTCGGGCGCCAGAATGTTGCAGACCGAGGGTAAAGTATTTTTATGATTATTAATAATGAGCCAGACTACCAGGAATTATATAGAACAGAGAGTGTGAAAAACAGGGGCCAACAGTTCCCATGACTGAAGGCCGCAATTTGTCTCTTGATTTCCTGGCTGCTGGTACCAAAAGAGTTGATTGTGAAACCAAGCAAACTAGAATTGTTAACAATCTCAATCTCTTCACCATCCATAATGATGCTGCCAATTGACCCTGTTGTGTGGATGTCAGAAGACATTCTAAAAATGTCACTGTTGTTGCTGTTGTGTACCATCGAGTTGAAACTGACCCATAGGTGACTCTCCAGTGGATTTTCAGAAGCAGTTAATTGCCCATCCTTCTCCTGTAGAGCAGCTTGTGGATTCGAACTGTGTGCCTTTGGAATTCCAACACAGCTTCTGCACTAGAATAATTAATAATAATAATAACACCAATAACAATAATAATTATTGATTGTCCACCTCTCATGTGTAGGAAGTGATTAGAAGGACTATGGCCTAAATCAAATGCACCTTAATCCTCAAACTGATGTCATTACTCTTCAATAATTTGGAGAGGTCCCTAAATGCACGTTTTCTCAGTACAATACATCTCCTTATTTCCTGACTGCTGGTACCAAGGGTGTTAATTGTGTATCCAAGCAATATGATGAAACTGTTGACAGTTTCAATTTCTTCTCCATTCATCATGATGTTGCCTGTAGGTACAGTGGTAAGACATTTTCTTGACATTGAGATGCAATCCATATAGTAGTATCCATTCCCTGATCTCCTGTAACAAGTGCTTCAAGTCCCCCTCATTTTCACCAAGCAAGGTTGTCTCATCTGCATAACACACGCTATTTATTAGCCTCCTTTTTATCCTGATGCTACATTCTTCTTCTTAAGAGTTCAGCTTCTCAACTAATTTGCTCAGCATACAGATTATATAGGTAGGGAGAGAGAATACAACTCTGACACACTCCCTTTTTTGTTTTAAACCGTGTAGTGTTCCCCAACTCTGTTTGTACAACAGCCTTCTGGTCCTAATATAGTTCTGTGTAGTCTATGAGCCATCACATCAGATTTGGACCCAGTAAAGCAGTATGATTGGTATTGAAAGGAGTAGAAGACGGTATGGGAGCTGGAGGACATTCTTTACTTCATGTGAATTTGTTGTGCTGTTGATGCTATTGACAGGGACAGTTTCCCTCTGTGAAGTTGGTAAAGGTCAGATATTACCATCCTCATTTGGCACTTGCCATTTTTACCGTTGGAAACACTGAGGAAAATTTACAGTTAGGGACCTCTCCAAATTATTGAGGAATAATGTCAGTTTGAAGTATAAGATGTGTCTGATTCAGCCCATTTTCTTTCTGATCAGTTGCTATGTGTCTGAGAGCCGCAGGAGAATTGATGCCTTTAAACTGTGGTGTCGGAGAACAGCACTGGACATCTCATGGATGGCCAAGAGAACAAACAAATAGATCTTGGAGAAGGTGTCACTGAAGTGCTCTTTGGAGGCAAAGATGATGAGACTTCAGGGATGTTGCTAGGAGGGGCTATTCCTTGGAGAGGGACATGATGCTTGGAAAGATGGAGGGTAGGTGAAGAAAAGGAAGACCTTTGACCAGGTGTGTTGATATTGTGACTACCACAATGGGCTCTAATGTGTCAGGAAATGAGGAAATGTGAGGATGGCACAAGATAGGATAAGGTTTAGATCTGTTGTTCACATGTTCACAGGGTCCCTGGGGGTTGTACTCTATGGCACATAATGACAAAACCCATTATGCTCAATGTATGTGAAATGAAGCTTTATCATCTTTGCCTCCAAGGAACACAACATCTTCACCTTTTTCAAAGACAGAATTTGTTTGTTCTTTTTGCCTTCCATGAGATATTCAGTACTCTTCTCCAACACCACACGATTCAAAGGCACCAATTCTTCTGTCATTGTTAGTAATTGTCCAGCTCTCAGTTACATAGCAAGTGACTGCAAAGACCATGGCCCAAATCAAGTGTACATTAGTCTTCAAACTGACATCATTGCTTCTCAATAATTTTGAAAGGTCCCTAACGATAGATTTTCCCAGCACAATATGTGTCCTGATCTCTTTATTGCTGGAAACAAGTGTATTTGTTGTGTATCCAAGTAT